TGTTTTTTATCTAATCTAACATTTATTTGTCTTGTTCATACTTAGTGTGCTGTTCCGGTTGATCTTCCCTTTATATGCAAGTGCTTTTCATTTAGTCTAGCACCTCTTTGTCTTGTTCATTCTTAATGTGATGTTCCGGTTGATCTTCCCTTCACATGCATGTGCATTTGGTTAGTATAGTTGCTTATTATCATGTTCATACTTAGTGTGATGTTCCGGATGATCTTCTCTTCACATGCATGTGTTTTTTATTAGTCTAGCCTCTCTTTGTCAAGATTATGTTCTGGATCTTTGCCTTGTTGATCCCTTCTCCTTGTGCATGTACTTTCCACTAGTCTAGTCTCTAATTGTCAAGTTCATGTTCCGAAGCTTTTGCCTTGTTGAACTTTTCTCCTTTATGCATGGGCTTTCCACTAGTCTAATCCTTCATTGTCAAGTTCATGTTCCGGATCTTTTGCATTGTTGAACTCTTCTCCTTTATGCATGTGCTTTCCACTAATCTAATCCTTCATTGTCAAGTTCATGTTCTGAATCTTTTACTTTGTTGAACTTTTTTCCTTTGTGCATATGATTCCACTAGTCTAACCCTTCCTTGTCAAGTTCATGTTTCGGATCTTTACCTTGTTGATCTCTACTCATTGTGCATGTGCCTTCCACTAGTCTAGTCTCCCATTGTCCGGATTTTTTGCCTTGTTGAACTCTTCTCTTTTATACATGTGTTTTCCACTAGTCTAATCCTTCCTTGTCAAGTTCATGTTCCGGATCCTTACCTTGTTGATCTCTACTCATTGTGCATGTGCTTTCCACTAGTCTAGTCTTCATTGACGAGTTCATGTTCCGGATCTTTTACCTTGTTGAACTCTTCTCATTTATGCATGTGTTTTTCACTTGTCTAACCCTTCATTGTCAAGTTCATGTTCCAAATCTTTTACTTTGTTGAACTCTTCTCCTTTATACACGTGCTTCCACTAGTCTAGTCTCCCATTGTCAAGTTCATGTTCCGGATCTTTGTTTAGTTAGTCTCTTCTCTTTGTGCATGTACTTTCCGCTAGTCTAGTCTCTCATTGTCAAGTTTATGTTTGATGTGGTATTCCGGATCCTCACCTTGTTGATCACTTCTCCTTGTGCGTGTGCTTCCACTAGTCTAGCCTCTCTTTGTTAAAGTTCATGTTCCAGATCTCTACTTAGTTAGTCTCTTCTCTTTGTGCATGTGCTTTCCGCTAGTCTAGTCTCTCATTGTCAATTTCGAGTGTGATGTGATGTTCCGGACTGTACTTAGTTAGTCTCTTTTCTTTGTGCATATGCCTTCTACTAGTCTAGCCTCTCGTTGTCAAGTTCATGTTTGATATAATGTTCTGGATCTTGTTTAGATAATCTTCCTTTTTAAGAGTATGTGTTTTCCATTGATCTAGCTTCTCATTGTCATGTTCGTGCATAATATTCCAAGATATACTTATTCAATCTCTCACTTTGGGGCGGGTGGTCGACGTTTGGTTGCCGTTACGGGGAGCTGAGTTGATTAGGAGTTCTTCTTGTCTTCTCTCACTCTCTCTCTCTCTCTCTTTCTCTCTCTCTCTCTCTTCTCTCTCTCTCTCTCTCTCTCTCTCTCTCTCTCTCTCTCTCTCTCTCTCTCTCTCTCTC